TACTCTTCAAAATACTGTTAATTAAAGAAGAGCAAGGTGATGAACCATGTGTGCTGTAGTATATAGTCGAGCGTGTTCATGTTTGTTTGCTTAGAGTTAAAAATAGAAGCATACCAAATGTAAGGCCAGACACTATCAAACTCTTAGAGGAAAACATAGGCAGAACACTCTACGACATAAATCACAGCAGGATCCTTTTTGACCCACCTCCTAGAGAAATGGAAATAAAAACAAAAATAAACCAATGGGACCTAATGAAACTTCAAAGCTTTTGCACAGCAAAGGAAACCATAAACAAGACAAAAAGACAACCCTCAGAATGGGAGAAAATATTTGCAAACAAAGCAACTGACAAAGGATTAATCTCCAAAATATACAAGCAGCTCATGCAGCTCAATAACAAAAAAACAAACAACCCAATCTAAAATGGGCAGAAGACCTAAATAGATTTTTCTCCAAAGAAGATATACAGGTTTCCAATAAACACATGAAAAGATGCTCAACATCACCAATCATTAGAGAAATGAAAATCAAAACTACAACGAGGTATCACCTCACACCAGTCAGAATGGCCATCATCAAAAAATCTACAAACAATAAATACTGGAGAGGGTGTGGAGAAAAGGGAACCCTCTTGCTCTGTTGGTGGGAATGTAAAGTGATACAGCCACTATGGAGAAGAGTATGGAGGTTCCTTAAAAAATTAAAAATAGGGCTTCCCTGGTGGCGCAGTGGTTGAGAGTCCGCCTGCCGATGCAGGGGACACGGGTTCGTGCCCTGGTCTAGGAAGATCCCACATGCCGCGGAGCGGCTGGGCCCGTGAGCCATGGCTGCTGAGCCTGCGCGTCCGGAGCCTGTGCTCCGCAACGGGAGAGGCCACAACAGTGAGAGGCCCGCGAACCCCCGCAAAAAAAAAAAAAAAAAAATTAAAAATAGAACTACCATATGACCCAGCAATCCCACTGCTAGGCATATACCCTGAGAAAACCATAATTCAAAAAGAGACATGTACCACAATGTTCACGGCAGCACTATTTACAATAGCCAGGATGTTGAAGCAACCTAAGTGTCTATCGACAGGTGAATGGATAAAGAAGATGTGGCACATATATACAATAGAATATTACTCAGCCATACAAAGAAGCGAAATTGAGTTATTTGTAGTGAGGTGGATGGACCTAGAGTCTGTCATACAGAGTGAAGTAAATCAGAAAGAGAAAAACAAATACCGTATGCTAACACATATATATGGAATCTAAAAAAAAAAAAAATGGTTCTGATGAACCTAGGGGCAGAACAGGAATAAAGATGCAGACGTAGAGAATGGACTTGAGGACATGGGGAGAGGAAGGATAAGCTGGGGTGAGGTGAGAGAGTGGCATGGACATATATACACTACCAAATGTAAAATAGATAGCTAGTGGGAAGCAGCCGCATAGCACAGGGCGGTCAGCTTGGTGCTTTGTGACCACCTAGAGGGGTGGGATAGGGAGGGTGGGAGTCAGACGCAAGAGGGAAGGGGTATGGGGATATATGTATACGTATAGCTGATTAACTTTGTTATACAGCAGAAACTAACACAACATTGTAAAGCAATTTTACTCTAATAAAGATGTTAAAAAAATAAAAATAGAAGCGTAAACTAAAAACCAACCAAAATGGTTGAAAAATTAGGATAGAGAGGACAGGTCTAGAAGTTAGATTTCTCTTCTTTTGTCCTATGGTTTTCATTTTGGAATTCTGCAGATATTTAATCTAAGTTTAAAACAACAATTAAAAGCAAAATGAAACAAATGAACATTATTGTATAATTGACTTGTGGCTTACCCACACAGAGGATTATTTCAAGAGCTCTTAAAACAGAGTAATTTTTAACTGTTCATCCTAGTGGCATATACACAAAGGTTAAAAAGAACCACAATGTAATCTAAGCAGTTTTCAATAATCATATTTTTAGTAATAATATGTGCACTGTAAATTTGAAAATATACATTTAAAGGAAGTAAGAAATTATATTAATGTAATAGAAAGAAGAAAAGTAGGCAGAAGAAAAATTTAAATGCAAAATAAATTCAAGGCAGTTAAGTTAAATTTCTATAATCCTAAATTGGAAGTAACAATATTAATATGAATTTGTGATATTATTTCTCCTTCAAAACAAATAAAAATATGTAGAAACAATGACCAATACAATAGTAATGAAAACACCCAGTGTCCACATTTTGTTCTCTAAATAAATTTCCCGCTTAGAAAGAACCAAGTCTTTTTAGAGAAATGTCTGGTTCTAAGTCAGGGTACAGGAAACATACAAAATAAGGTTGGAACATCTAGTCCTGCTCCAAAACAAGAAATCTACGAGAGACTATTGGGTTTGTGGCAAAAGGATATAGGAGAAACTTGAAGAGGCTCCCAGTTGTCAAAGATGGAATATTTTGTTCAAAAAGTATAATTGCAATAGTAGATTGAAACATATCAACTATGTTTAAATCCATGTGTTGATATGATACTTTAAAAAAGCCCCAAACCACCTCCCTGATCATATGTGGGAGATGATAAACAACTCATTATTTTGAAAATTAGAACATTAGTAAGTAAACAAAAAGAATAAATAATTTATCCTGATTTTTTGTTCAAATAATTATCACAGGGTACTCAAAAAGTTGATCTGGAAAACTGCTTCTTTCAGGAGAGTACCAGCTAATACATGCAAAATGCAGGACAGAATTAGCAAACCACTAGTTTGTAACCCCTAACAAATTCTAGACTAAGCATAACCATCAACAGGTACTAAAGCCATTAGCTAAAATGGGGAAGTCTAACATTAAGAGCTTCTCAAACTTTACTGTGCATATAAACCACTTGAGGATATTCAATTCTAGAACCTGATTCAGTAGTTCTGGAGTTGAGCCTGAGATTCTGCATTTAAAACAAACTACCACATGGTGCCAATACTGCTGGTCAGAGGGCCGTTCTAAGAAAGAGAAGAGCAGCCCCTAGTATCCGGGAGCTGGCCTGGTACTATCAGCTGGGCTTTGTTGTTCTCTTGTTGAATGTAAACAATTTCACAGAAAACATCAGACAGGTTTACTCTGTGACCATGATGGATCAAGACAAAAACAAGCCTACTGTGTAATCACATCTAAACACAAAAAATGAACACTGTCCAAACCACAACATCCCTATCTTGGCTATTATAAGTGGCACGGCTTCTTTACAAATTGTAGCCTTAGTCTCTATTCAGTCTTTCCTCCTGCCGGATAAGACTTACTAAAATGCTCAATCACTCATGCTTTCTGACAGCATCTAATCCAGAGCAAAGCCCCAATTCCTTAAGCCTTCCCTAAAATCACCAAGCATAAGCCCAAGTCCTATAACAAGTCCTTTCTAACACTCTCTGAGATGTCCCATGGTTCCTCTGGTGAGCATTCTCTTCATTACAACATGTAATAAACACATATTGTTCAACTACAGGTGTGTTCTGGTGGTCTTTGCCGGAGTAGCAATTCAGTAGTGTGATGGATCAGGCTGACAGGTGAGTCACTAAACAGTATGTGCTTCCTGATGTGATGCTATAGAGATTCATAGCAAGCATGTAATCTCTTTTTTTTTTTTTTTTTTTTTTTTGCGGTACACGGGCCTCTCACTGTTGTGGCCTCTCCCGTTGAGCAGCACAGGCTCCAGACGCGCAGGCTCAGCGGCCATGGCTCACGGGCCCAGCCGCCCCGCGGCATGTGGGATCTTCCCGGACCGGGGCACGAACCCGCGTCCCCTGCATCGGCAGGTGGACTCTCAACCACTGAGCCACCAGGGAAGCCCCAAGCAAGTAATCTTGCCAAAAAAGATGAACGCTGATCTGATTGAACCTCTAGATTTAACCATCAGTTTACAAGAAATACAGAAGCTAGAGGAACATTTTAAGCAACCATATTTAATTCAACCATGAGACAATTTGCCTTTTTTTCCAACAAATAAGTGACAAGAAAAATAGAAGATGGAAGGGGAACATATAGATGAAAAGAAACTCAATAGTCATATCCACCAATTGTAATGTGTAGCCCTTATTTGGGTCCTAATTTGTACAAACTACTACACAAACTAATAATGATAATGACAAAAAGACAATTGGGGCTATTTGAACAGAGCCTAGCTCTCTGATAATATTAAAAAAGATTATTAATATTTTTAGGTTTCATTATGACAATGGTCATTTTTCAAAACATTTACAAATAAAATGATATGCTGTCTAGGATTTGCTTTAACATAATTCAGTCATAGTGAGAAGGAGTGTAGAAGGGTATACATAAAAACATTGGCCATAATTGATAATCATCATAATTTGCTAATTTTAAGGGTATATGACAATTCTTTTTATTATTCTCCCTATGTTTAATATGTTTAAAACGTTACATAGTAAACAATTTTAAAAATTATTTTTTACCATTTAATTCAATAGAGCTTTTTTTTTTTTTTTTTTTTGGCAGTACGCAGGCCTCTCACTGTTGTGGCCTCCCCCGCTGTGGAGCACCAGGCTCCGGACGCGCAGGCTCAGCGGCCATGGCTCACGGGCCCAGCCGCTCCGCGGCATGTGGGATCTTCCCGCACCAGGGCACGAACCCGTGTCCCCTGCATGGCAGGCGGACTCTCAACCACTGCACCACCAGGGAAGCCCCAATAGAGAATTTTTGAAAGAAGAAAGTTAAATAGAGAGAAATTAAGGACCACAGCTCAAAATGGCTACATATTCTACAGAAATAAACAGTAATGAATTTTAAAGAGTCTTTCCCATTACTGAAATGGCTTTCAGAACTATTTTTTGAGAGGTGTTAGAATATTCACCTGTTTCTTTTCTCTTTTTTTGTAATCACTAACAGATATGTCAACTGCAAGTGAAAAGGAATAAGGAATATTATTATGTAGACTCGGGTGATGGTCATCAGAGAAAAATTCAATTTAAATGTTTGAGTCTTAGAAAGAAGGCAACATATCATTTGGGCAATTACCTGGATCTGTAGCAGACATCAGTGAACCAAAAAACAAACAGTCAGTGAAATGAAAGTCTCCATTTTTCAGCTGGTCAGCATATACCATGGCCTTCACAAAGCCATACATAATTAACCTGTTGAAGAGAAAAATATGATCTTCAAACATCAACTTGAATCCTGTGTAAACCCATGCCATCATAGCTGACATTCTAATGGGCTTCTTGAATAAGGATGAGGCACAAATTACCACTATTCTGCCTATTTGTAGCCATGCTAGTTCTCAGTACACTGTACCAAATATCACAGTTTATTCACCTGGCAAAAGGTAAAAGAACATTTTATAGTGTACTTCAGTGGAAACAAATCTCAAGGATATAAAAAATTACCTGTGAAATACGGCATAGCAAATCATACCCACAAATATAGTGGCTGGGTTGACATCTGTAAATGGATTGCTTTTCAGTTTTACTGTTTTGTCTGCTAGGGTGTCTGCAAAGGGTTCAAGTTTCAAGTCTGTCACTGTGATGAGAAGGATACTGGCCACTCACAGGGCACTCAGTCAACCAGTTACTTTACAATAGATGAGTCTCTACTACTGGTGGTGTCAGGACACTTCCACACCAGGTAGAGAAAACACTGTTAGGTTTAGAGCGCCTGTAACTTCAACACACAGTTGAAAATGAATCTTGAAATGGTTACATTTTGATCTTGCAAAGAAAGCCATTCTTTTCATGAGATTATGTTTACCAAACCCATAGAATGCAAATTATCTGTTTTGGTCATCATTTGCCACCCTATAGCTTTTAAATTGTATTTAATTAACTGATTTTTCTAAATCCTAGTGGAGGAAACACAAAAACTGGTGAACTGGACCACGGTAGAATCACTGAAAGTGACTGTAAGAGTCCTTAGAAACCACTGACTCTCAGACCAATAGACTGCTGCTTAGATATTCACACGTATTTAAATTAGTTTCTTGAAAAATGTTCTAGGGTTGTGAGCATGACTAAAAAGACTAGAAATCAGATATTTGAAATTTTAATGACAATGAGAATGTGGATATTTCAAATTCTCTTATGAAAAATTTCTCTATGAGAGAATATTTCAGACACACCTGCATTTAAATCCAGTTTCTACCACTTACTAGTTATGTGATTTTAGGGCATTACTAAAACCTTCTGAGGTAGGGAAAAGAGTTATGGTTAGTCTACAGAGCTGTTTTAAGGATTATCTGAGGTAATATAAATTTGGGTTTTGACACATAGTAAATTCTCAATGAGATTATGACTGCTAATAGTAATTATCAAAATGGTAATATTCACTTTCTATATCTATTTCTTCACATGTTTTAACTCATTTCATCCACACATTGATCCTACAAGATAGGTACTATTTGCATTTTACAGATGAGAAAACTGAACACTGTGTGATCAAGTAACTTGCTCAAGGTGACACAGCTATTAAATTGTGGAACCCAGACTTGAACTGAGAAATTTGACTCCAGATCCCGGGCTTTTAATTCCTACATAATATTGCCTACATGAATAGTTCCATATTGTACATTATATGTTATCTCATACAGTATACTCTTAACTAGTCCATAAGGTGGTTGTTCTATATAGGGCAAAGGTGCAGCAACGGAGTATCCCCAAGAACTTGGAGATACTACTACCCATTAGCTGAACTATTAGGACAACCACATGGGTTTGAACAGAGACCCAATATTGCTGTGAAGTGTGTGGATTCTAGCAGGGGAGGCTGAAGCTTAACTAGGCTGCAAGTGTTAACATATCTGAGAAAGCCTGTGTCATGCGACACAGCAACTGTTTCTGGGAAGAGGCCTCAATCATGGCAGCTCACCTACACTTATCTTGGGGAGGGCATTCTGCTGGTTACCAGGGCATGCAGCCTCTGGACAGGTTAAGAGTAGAGTCATTCAGCTTGTTTATTCAATAGATATTTATTACTGAACCCCTACTATTGTCAGGCTCTGTGCTAGGTGTTTAGAATACATCAGTGAACAAGACAAAGATCCCTGTCCTTATGGAGCATGTCGTTTATAGCAAGGCAGATGGCAATAAATATAATCATAGATTTTAATTATATGTTATCCGCATCACCCTCTGAATTAGAATCTGCAGGTCTGATGAACACTGAGACTTTCTGGACAGTCACAACATTACCAGGGAAATGCTCTCCGAGAGTCATCCCTTCAGCCTCACTTGGTGTTAACCTGACTTCACCACAGTTCTTCCTCATTTGAGCTACACTTCCAATATGGAGCATGGATAGGCTCTGGAATCAGTATCAACTTTATGACCTATGACTATATTTCTGAATTCTATACCCATTAGTTAATTTTACAAGTTAGGAATCTGAGCCTCAGAATTAAAATGACTTGCCCCATATTGCCCTACAGAAGCCATTAGACTGGGTAAGATAAAAAAAATATATGCATGCATATATATTACCCAGGCTTGGGAAGATTACTTGGAAACTAGAAGCCTCATATACTATTGATGAAAATAAAATTAAAGTCTTTATAAAAGCCAATTTGACAATTTATTTTTAAAGTATTAAATTTTTTATATTCTGTAGCTTATTAAATGATTTTCTATGAATTTTTGCCAAGAAATTAATCTGAATGCACACCAGAAGTTATTTAGTTTATTTCAGATTATTACTATTCATGAGTGAAAAATTCAAAGCAATCTAAATGTCCAGTGAATAAATTACAGAACACACATATAACGAACTAATATGCAACTATTAATACTATATACAAGAGTGTATATTAGGCATAGAAAAGTAAATTGATAAAGCAAATTATAAAGTGGTAATATATAATAATTTCTAATTTTATAAAAATTGAATATATTTAAGCACACATATAAACAGAAAAAGGTCAGAAGCATATAGTCTGGGATGTTAATAGTGGTTATAAAATGACATGTGACTATTTTCTTTTTTCCTATTCTGCATTTTTCAGTTCTTTCTAAATAACAGTCATAATAAAAAACTAACAGTGTACATTAGTGAGTGCTATTATGTGACATGACATTCATTATGTCATTTAATCTTCATAATACTTGAGTTAGGTACTATAATTATTCCTTTTTACAAAGGTGAAAATCAGGATTGAGAGAGGGTAAATAAGTTGCCTAAGGTCACAGAAGTTAGCTTATGACAGAGCTGGATTTGAACCCAGGCAGTTGGATGTCAAAACCTGCATACACAACCACCATTCTATAGAGATTCGGAATTGTTTTGAAATCAAGAGAAACACATGTGCATGTACACACACACACACACACACACATGCACACACATATACACATACCCCTATACACACAGTTTTTTTTTTAAAAAAAAAGAAAGTAAATGATTTGTTTACTCCAAATCAACCCCTGGACACAAAATAACTGTAATTCCAATATCTTCCTTGAGATAATACCTTAAAAAGCAAGAAAAACAGAAAAAGCCCAGTGCAGTATGAGCTCAGTATGATCATTTTGTTATTATTACCAATAACAATGGTCAAGAAAAACAGAAAAAGCCCAGTGCAGTATGAGCTCAGTATGATCATTTTGTTATTATTACCAATAACAATGGTCATTGTCACTGATAATTATAATGTCAATAATTAGTGTGTATCTGTTATGTGCCAGGCACTTTTTTTAAAATAACTAGCTATTGTTATTGTTGCTACATTATTGTAACTAACTAATTATAACTGTATTAACTGGGAGGATAAATAAATGAACCCATTAGCAACCACCACATTCTCACAGGGTGGTATGTTCTATCAGCACTTCACAGAAACTATTTCAGATGGCTCAGGATACAGGAAAGATGTGGTCTGATGGGGAGAGGGAAGCCAGTGAATTCCAGTGCACGCAATGCTGTGAAGATGGTGGACCCAAGTGAGATGTCCTTCTGGGGTCAGCCTGTACTTAGGGACAGCCCAGGTCACAGGGATGGGCAGAAGCAGAACTGCCATATAAAAAGCAAAATTGCTGATAACATTGATCTCAACAAATATCCACTTAGTGCTATTCTTTAAAAAGCAGAGTGCTTATGCTACAGAGGATACAAAGGTGCAAATCCATGACCCGTCTTCAAAGAGTAGAGTTTCACAGGATGGCAGTCATGTCACTTATAGAAGGCATTGGGTAAAAGAGAATTTGAAGAAATGTCCTACACAATGCTCCACATACTCACTTTATTGAGTGTTTGTGACACACGTACTGATTTTAAACTTCATGAGCTTGTTTCACACTATTAAAGTTCCACACCTAAAGGCATGTTGCAAAAATGTTTCAAAACAAAAAGTTCCAGAAGGCTCAATTGCTTGGATGATTTTTAAGTATGCCATCTTAGTCTCTCTCAGTATTTTTTAAAAAGAATACATCTTCTTTTTTAAAAATAGTCTTGATCAAGCTATGAATAGATCTACTGGAAAAAGCAGTTTTTTTGAATTGCTAGAGATACGCAAGGGGAATTGCTGTCAGTTTGGAAACAGCTGTGTGGACCAGGCCTGTTAACTGTCAGAAGAGCCACATTCCTGCCTGTGAAAGCTTGTGAAACAGACCATTACATGGACCTCACTCTGCAGTGGGAAAGCCCAGCACCAACAGGCTCTGATAGCAAAACAAAGATTATAATCTGCACCTAAATTTCTGATTTCTATACTCAAACGTTTCCTCTGGATAAGCATCTTTATTTATTTGTTCACATTTTATGGATAGTTTCAATCTCACAGTTTCTTTTTTTTTCCTGGGGCATGCATTCAAGAGCAATACCCCACTAGAGAAGTCATAAATTCTTTTTTTTTTTTTTTTGGCGGTACGTGGGCCTCTCACTGCTGCGGCCCCTCCCATCGCGGAGCACAGGCTCTGGACGCGCAGGCCCAGCGGCCATGGCTCATGTGCCCAGCCGCTCCCCAGCATGCGGGATCCTCCCGGACCGGGGCACGAACCCGCGTCCCCTGCCTCGGCAGGCGGACTCCCAACCAGTGCACCACCAGGGAAGCCCCATAAATTCTTTTTCTTTACAGCTTTACTGAGATACAATTCACATATAACATTGTGTCAGTTTAAGGTATACAATATGATGATTTGATATATGTATGTAT